AAGCCCCCCAAATACCCCCTTCCTCCACCCCCCCCTTACTCCCCCATTCTTCCTGTCTCCTTCCAGTGGATCGGCTGCAGCAGGCGCACCAGCAGCTGGCCAAGCGAGGAGTGCCTCTCGCCTCCAACCAGGTGAAACTTCTATCCTCGTTGCTGCAGGGTGTTTTTGAGAATTCTCAAAAACACCCTGCAGCAGCTGGCCAAGCGAGGAGTGCCTCTTGCCTCCAACCAGGTGAAACTTCTATCCTCATTATAAGCCCGGGCGTCACCTCGTGCTGTCAGCGCATCACCTTGCGCATCATCACCGTACCCTCTCTTCGTATCTTCTCACCACACCCTCTGCTGCCCATCAGGTGCATCACAACATCCTCTACCGCGTGCCTGAGAGCAACGGCGTGAAGCAGGCGTGTGAGGACCTGGGCGTCACAGGTCTTGCACATGCCAGTGTATCATCAATGTACCCTCTCACCACACCCTCTCGCCACACCCTCTCGCCACACCCTCTCGCCACACCCTCTCACCACACCCTCTCACCACACCCTCTGGCCCCCCCATCAGGTGCATTACAACATCCTCTACCGCGTGCCTGAGAGCAACGGCGTGAAGCAGGCGTGTGAGGACCTGGGCGTCACAGGTCTTGCACATGCCAGTGCATCATCAATGTACCCTCTCACCACACCCTCTCGCCACACCCTCTCGCCACACCCTCTCACCACACCCTCTCACCACACCCTCTGGCCCCCCCATCAGGTGCATTACAACATCCTCTACCGCGTGCCTGAGAGCAACGGCGTGAAGCAGGCGTGTGAGGACCTGGGCGTCACAGGTCTTGCACATGCCAGTGTATCATCAATGTACCCTCTCACCACACCCTCTCGCCACACCCTCTCGCCACACCCTCTCACCACACCCTCTCGCCACACCCTCTCGCCACACCCTCTCACCACACCCTCTCACCACACCCTCTGGCCCCCCCATCAGGTGCATTACAACATCCTCTACCGCGTGCCTGAGAGCAACGGCGTGAAGCAGGCATGTGACGACCTGGGAGTCACGATAATTGCATACAGCCCTCTCTCCCAAGGTGTGTGTGTTTATTTGTCTGCTTGTCTATCTGTTAAAGAGCGCGTGTTGCTAGTGAGGGATAAGCAGGAGTGTGAGGACCTGGGCGTCGCACTCATCGCATACAGCCCACTCTCCCAAGGTAAGCCTGTCCTGGAACCCATTCAAACGGGGACTCACAACATGCGAGTACGAGTGAACCGTTTCAGCCTGTGCTTACCCTGTCTTTTCCGTTTCAGCCTGTGCTTACCCTGTCTTTTCCGTTTCAGCCTGTGCTTACCCTGTCTTTTCCGTTTCAGCCTGTGCTTACCCTGTCTTTTCCGTTTCAGCCTGTGCTTACCCTGTCTTTTCCGTTTCAGCCTGTGCTTACCCTGTCTTTTCCGTTTCAGCCTGTGCTTACCCTGTCTTTTCCGTTTCAGCCTGTGCTTACCCTGTCTTTTCCGTTTCAGCCTGTGCTTACCCTGTCTTTTCCGTTTCAGCCTGTGCTTACCCTGTCTTTTCCGTTTCAGCCTGTGCTTACCCTGTCTTTTCCGTTCTCTGTCCTCACTGCATGTGTGTGCTCTTAATCGACCTCTCACCCAGTTTTCAAGAAACCTACATGTCCTACTGATTCGCTTTCCATGATACTCACGCAAGTAATCGCCCCCATTGCATTGTACCCTGCCATTCCCGACCAATCACCTCTCGCCAGGTGTCCTCAGTGGCAAGTACTCTCCCCAGAAGCCCCCGACGGGTCCACGTGCCAACTCCTACTCGCCAGACTTCATTCGCAAGGTACTGACACTTAGTTAAAATACTCTTGAGAATTCTCAAACGTGCCAACTCATGAAGCCAAAGCCTTTCCCATTGTGATTGGACCATTCCTGCCCAGCCTCTCTCTGCACCATAGGCTTCTGAGGCGCCTCAGAAGCCATCCCGCCCAGTCTCGCCCTGTACCTTGCCTTTTTCCACATGACTTAATGAAACCTACTGCCTTATTACCCTGACGGACTCAATCCGCCCCTTCTGCCCCTCTCTGCCCCTCTCTGCCCCTCTCTGCCCCTCTCTGCCCCTCTCTACCCCTCTCTACCCTTTGGACTGCACCATGCAGGCCCAGCCTCTGCTACAGCGCATGGCACAGCTAGGGGAGAAGTACGGCGGCCGTCCTGCACCTTGCTCTCTCCACATGACTTCGTGAAAACTGCTTGCCTTTTGACCCTGTTGACCCCTCTCCGCCCCTTCTTCCCCTCTCTACCCCTCCCAACCGCTGTGAATGTTCCATGCAGGCCCAGCCTTTGCTACAGCGCATGGCAGAACTAGGAGAGAAGTATGGCGGGCGAAGCAAGACGCAGGTGAGAGAGGGAGGGAATGCTCAAGAAGCCACATTCGATAAATTTCACATGTCAAAAAGGGGGGAGGAAGAGGTGTGAGGAGAGGGGGGCAAGAGTGCGCAAAACTCAGGTGAGAGGGAAGGAGCAACGAGGGAGCAGAGCACTGCCTGAGGCTTCAGGTCATCAGGATTGACGTCTGAGATTTCTCGGACACTCAAGGAACAGTGGCTGGTGCTACGGTGGGTACTCTGTTGAGTAGACTGCCCTTGAGTCTTCCCTGGGCTTTTCAGTCGTCCCTGGGCTTTTCAGTCTTCCCTGGGCTTTTTAGTCTTCCCTGGGCTTTTCAGACTCCCCTGGGCTTTTCAGTCGTCCCTAGGCTTTTCAGACTCCCCTGGGCTTTTCAGTCGTCCCTAGGCTTTTCAGTCTTCCCTGGGCTCTTCAGTGCTACTGTTGCGCCCATGTAAACCAATTTTTTTGGTCTGAAGAGCCGAAATTTTTCAAAGCCACACCAACGTCAAAGATCATATTTCCTACGAGGTGACTGTTGACAGGCTGATAATTCAAGCCAGCACTAATTTTCTGAATTTTCTTCTGTACTCCCCCGATGATTTTCCTGCACTGCCATCCGTTTTAGGTGGCTCTTAACTGGCTGGTAGTGCAAGGGAACATCGTTCCTATCCCAGGAGCCAAGAACAGAGCACAGGTAAGCCAAGCCTTGCTATTGCTGCCTTTCTTCCACGTACTACTTCTCTGCATGAGGCATCCACTATTCGCTTGATTGGAACGTGTTTTCCAGCCATGTGCAGCTAATTCCTGTTTGCGTGGTTGACGTGGTTGATTATGTGGTTAGTATGGTCTTGTGCAGTGGTGTGTGCGGTGCACATGGGTGCGTGTGGCTTTGTGTAACCGGTGCTACCTGTGTGCTTGTGTGTGCTTGCACAGGCTGCGGAGTTTGCAGGGGCTTTGGGGTGGTCGCTAACCGCCGAGGAGGTGCAAGAATTGAGGGAGCTGGCCTCACGCGTACCACAAGCACAGGGTTTTCCTGCTGAAGCCTTTTAGGCTTAAATGACTCAACTTAAAATTAAGGGTCTAAGTTATATATGTATGTTGCATGATTACTGGTCCATCAACCCTCCCCATGTAGTTTGTTCAGGACTTAGTTAAATATGCAGCTTTGTGTTTACTCCGCCATTTGTTTCCACTTAATTATCCACCTACATTCTCGGAGGAGAGAGGAATTTTGTTTTTGGCGCGGATGCTTCTGTGGGAAGCTGAAAGGGCGAGTCTTCGCGTCGTCACGTGGCGAGCGCACACCAGAAAAGGCAGCACAAGTGTGGCACGTGGCACGCTCCTTCCATTCCGCTCCGCTCCCCTACTTTTCTCCCCGCCAGCCTCTCTGCTGCAGCAAGGAAACCCTAATCGCCTCGCTGCGCCATTTCCCTGTCCTCCTCTCCTCGAGCCCACGATTCCACGAATTTCACCAGTTGTCGGTGGGCGGCAAGGCGAGATGTCCGCTTTTCCGCCACTCGCTCCTGCTCCCCTTGCCGCGCTGGCTGTCGCTTGCCAACCAACTCCTGCTTTCCGCGCAAGCGGCGTTTCTGCCAAACGAATCTCAATGCGCCTCATAAGATACAATGCACTGTTGCTTTCCGCGCAAGCATTTCCGCAAGGGAACCATGTGACTGTTACTGTCCCCACTCTTCTTCCGACCGCGCTCCGCCGCGCACGGAACCACCTGCGCAAGCCGCGCGGGAGGTCGCTACTACACTCGGCCCGCGGCCGACGCAAGGACGTACGGACGGAGGAGGGAGCTTTTGAGTCGACTCAAAAGCCGACGCAAGGACGTACGGACGGAGGAGGGAGGGTCTACTCGTGCGAAGCGAAGGAGGGAGGCACTATGCGAAGGAGGGAGGCACTATGCGAAGGAGGGAGGCACTATGCGAAGGAGGGAGGCACTATGCGAAGGAGGAAAGCACTATGCGAAGGAGGAAAGCACTATTCGTGCCGTAGGACTATTCGTACGAACGTAAAAGCCTGATCAAGCTCGCTGTTCCTCCTGTCCATACGAACACCTTATAGTGGTAGTCACTAAACCACTATTAGTGGTACTAAACTACACTAGAACTACTCGCAGCAGTACCTTTACGAACCAATCATGGCACCCGCCGTGCCTATCATGCCGCCCATCACCGTGCCGCGGACAACACCCGCCCTCGCCGCGCCCTCTCTGAACCATCACCACCACCATCGCCACCACCATCGCCACCACCCCCACCGCCGCCACCACCCATCCAACGCCGTCCCCTCGCTGCTGCTACTGTTCCTCATCGCCGTCCCCTTCGTGCCGGCCGCAGCCACCGTCTATGTGCCATTCAATGCTTCCATTCGTGAGCCTCCTTTCCCATTCCTCCCTTCCCCTTCCTCCTTTGATTTCCTCGTCCTCCTCCTCCTCTTTCCTCCTTCTCCTGCTTCCCTTCCCCCCTTCCTTTCCTTCCCCTCCCCCTCTCCTTCCCCGTCCCCTCCCTCAGTCGTTTTCCTCCTTCCTTTCTTTCTCAGCCTTAACCTCCGATCAAAGAGAGGAAGGATGGGATGAAGGATGGGAGGCAAGGTGGCACGTTGAGCGAAATCAATGCGATTCTCGCCTCCTCTCACCTCCTTTGATGTCTCGCCTCCTCTCACCTCCTTTGATGTCTCGCCTCCTCTCACCTCCTCTCATGTCTCGCCTCCTCTCACACCTCCTCTCATGTCTCGCCTCTCCCTATCACTCTTCCTACACCCAGTCCCCGCTATAAGGGACCTCAAGGCAGCTCTTACGATGCCACCTTCATTCCCCTACCTCCTCCCCCCCTCCTCCCCCCCGTCCCTCCCCTTCCCCCTCCACCCACTTCCAGTCCCCGCTATAAACGACCTCAAGACAGCGCTGAGGGTGCCGGGCTCCTTTGGCTGGCGGAAGGGCGCCTCTTGCTCTGACGACGGATTAGGGCGGTTCTACCGAGGATTGAAGTGCGATGAGAACGGGAACCTGATAGCCATGTGAGTTGCTGCGAGGGGCAGTGTAGGGCGGTTCTGGTTATGGGTTCATAAGAGGGCCGGTTCGCTGTTAGCCAGCTAGCTAGGCAAGGGCGCTTCTTGCTCCGATGATGGATTAGGGCGGTTCAATCGAGGATTTAAGTGCGATGAGAACGGGAACCTGATAGCCATGTGAGTTGCTGAGAATCTTCCTTCCCCCTCACCTTCCTTCACTCCCTCCCTCTCCTCTTTCTTCACTCATTCTCTCCCTCCTCCCCGCCTCCTCTTCCTTCCCCCTCCACTTATTTTCTCTCCCCCTTCGCCTCTCCCCATCCCACAAAACGACAGAGACATCCACTGGGGTCTGCTGGTCTCGCGGATCTCCACTCTGCCGCCCTCAATCTCCGCCCTCACCTCTCTCACCGAAATGTCAGTATGAATGGAGTGACTTTTGAGTCGACTCAAAAGAATGGAGTGACTTTTGAGTCGACTCAAAAGAATGGAGTGAGAGATTCGCTCTCCCTCACCCTCGATACCGTCCTCCTCCTTCTGTCTTACCCTCTCATCACCACCACCCCCTCATTCTGTCTCTGTCATACTTTCCCCACCTCTCTCCCCCCCACCACCGTCAGCACCCTCTCATCAGCCTACATCTTCTCTCGCCCGGACCCCATAATCTCAGTCTTTCTCGTACCGTTACTTCCCCCCGTCTCCCCCCCACCACCACCACCAGCACCCTCTCTTCAGCCTACATCTTCTCTCGCCTGGACGTCTTTGCCAAGCCATTCGCCTGCCTGCCCAACTTGCAGTCACTGTGAGTGCAAGCCTGGGGTGCTGACGTCTCCTCTTAACTCCTCCCATATCCTCTCAACTCCTCCCATGTCCTCTCAACTCCTCCCATGTCCTCTCAACTCCTCCCATGTCCTCTCAACTCCTCCTATGGCCTCTCAAGTCCTCCCATCGCCTCTCAACTCCTCCCATCTCCTCTCAACTCCTCCCATGTCCTCTCAACTCCTCCCATGTCCTCAACCCACCCCTCACAACATCAACACCTCCTTTCGCTTCCATTTCCTCACTTCCCAATTCTACTCTATCTCATTCCCCACCTCTCTTTCATTTCACCCGCCTCCATCTCTCTTCTCTCTGTAGCCTCATTTTGAACTCGTATTTGAAGCCCTAATTCCTCCTCTCTTCTTCCTTCCCTCCGCATGACTCTCTCCCCCAGTCCCGTCTCCTCTTTCCCTTTCCCAGTGACCTGTCTCGGAACCCTATACCGCCCCATCCCACCCTACCTTGTTTGGAAACTCATTCTTTCCTCTCCTTTCCTTCCCTTTCTTCCCTTTCTTCCCTTTCTTCCCGTCCCCTCTCCCCCCTCCAGTGACCTGTCTTGGAATTCTCTATACGGCCCCATCCCCCCCTACCTCATCAACCACGCCTCTCTCACCAAGCTATGGCTCTTTGACAGCAAGCTCACCGGCCCCATCCCGCCCTTCCCCTTTGCTGCTTTCTTCTTTCTCCCCTTCCCCGCCTCTCCCATCCCCCGCCTCTACCCTCCCCCGCCTCTCCCCTCCCCCGTCTCCCCTCCCAGTGACCTGTCTTGGAACTCCCTATACGGCCCCATCCCCCCCTACCACGCCACCTTCACCAAGCTATGGCAACAAGCTCACCGGCCCCATCCCGCCCTTCCCTATCTTATGTTTCCTCTTTCTTCCCTTCCCCCCCACTCCCTTCCCCCCTCTCTCCCTCCTCCCAGTGACCTCTCTTGGAACTCGCTATACGGCCCCATCCCCTCCCACCTCATCAACCACGCCACCCTCACCAAGCTATGGCTCTTTGACAACAAGCTCACAGGCCCCATTCCGCCCTACAGCCCGCGCCTCTCCTCTCTCCTGCTCTTCAAAAACTTCCTCACTGGGGTCTTTCCCCTTCCGGCCTCCCCAGAACCAGACACCCCGGCCCCTGCCTCGTCTCCTGCCCCATCGCCTGCCCCCTCCCCTGCTCCCGCTGCTGCTCCCTCCTCCCTCCCAGCCCCCTCCCCCTCCGCCCCACCCCCCTCCTCCTCAGCCTCCCCGCCTCCGCCTCCACCCCCCTCCCCCCCTCCGCCTCCTCCCCCTTCCCCTCCTCCCCCGCCCTCTCCTCCCCCTCCCGTCCCCTCCCAATGCGATGTCAGCGGCAACTGCCTCTCCTACACCAGAAAATACACAGGCGCGTGCAAGGGCCTTCCCAGAAGCTTCATGGTGCAGCGGAACCCTATGTTCTGCGGAGCAGCAATGTGCGGTGGGAACTTAACTAAGTGTGAGGCGGAGGGGAAGGCGTGCATGCCGGTGTATAGCCGGTGGCCGCCGACGAGTGTTCAGCCGTTGGATCTGGCGCCGAATCGAGGGTGGATATGCGACGGGTGCGAGTGGGGGCTCACTGCTGTGAAAGGCACGACCAGTTGTTGTGAGTGCTGAGCTTCGAAACGTCCTGGGTGTCATCTAGCGTGTCATCCAGTGTGTCATCTTGGGTGTCACAATCTAGGGTTGCACCTATGGTGTCTTATAGGGTGTCAATGGTTGCAGGAGGCTATGCTCCCTCACATGCTCTCCATTCCGTTTCTTGGTGCTTGCTTGCTTGTCCCTTCTTTTTCTGATACTCTCTCATCCTCTCTACACCTGGTCCCTTTTCTACAAAAGGCAGCTTGTTACGGTACAACAAAATTCAGACCCCTGACTCCCCTGCACCCCCACCCCTGTGTCTACCTAGTGACTTGCAATCGGACAACAGGGGCAGCTTGTTACAACTCTGTAACGCAGCTTGTGTGCTTGGGCTACCCTACAGTAGTGGCACAGCCTTAAAATGAATCCATTAGAGCGCGTTCCTACCTACCGCCGCTTACCAGGCAAGCTCTTGTCAGACTCGCGTCTCACCGCTCTGTAACACACAGAATCATATTCAGTCGCACTGAAAAGCATTGAACCGCACAAGTCTGACAAGGCGTGTCTGACAAGAGGCGTGGGAACTCACCCTTATTCAGTTAAGTGAGATTACCATAGCGGGTTTTGTGATCCTTGTACCGAATGGCAGTCCTTTCTAATGTGTTTATTCTTGTTGACGTTGGAAGGAAGTCCAGCGTCCAGTGTCCCAGCAAAGGCTGTGGAAAACAGCATGAAGTACTGTACGTGATTGTGCTGTGCCAAGACTGTACGTGAGTCAGAATCACTAATGAATTGGGTCTCAATCACAGTAATGGCTACAGTTATCAACTTCTCATACACAACACATTATACACGCAGACAGCTCTAAAAATGACTTTTCAAGCAAGACAAGACAACCATAGGACTGGCACAAATGCTTGCAAGAAAGGAGGTTCTACACCAGGTTTCCTCTGGAACATTCTCACTGGATCTCCATTGAGATGAGGGGAGAAGGGTCTTTATTCAGTGAATTGGAAAAGGGTTTGCAATGAGTGGAGGGGAGAATAAGCATGTGCAGATGACAGCACAGCCAAGCAATCCAGCTGTCCTAGTCATCCTACCGATGAGTGCACCAGATTGAGCGAAATGGAAACGTATATGGCATGTCCCTGGTTGTTGGTAACAATGGGAGGACAAAGAAAGGGTAGGATAAGATGACAGAAAATGTTTGTATTTGGTGATTGGTTCAAAAAGGGAAGTGGAGAAGTTGTGCGAGTGCGAGGAGAGGGCGGAAAAAGGTCAATCACTTACAGTGCATAACTTGCACGAAACAACGGAACGGGTCCAGGAATATAAAGTTCGCCAATACTAGCGCCTTCACAATTGTCGTTATAGACTTTGCAGCTGGAGAAACTTGGAGCATCATCGGTGTTCACAACACCATACACTGTTGCGCCCACCCTAGCCAGTGCTTCCGGCATCTGGGTGCAGCTATTCAGGTTAAAGCGGAATGTGAGGGGTCGAGAAGAGTTGTCATTGGCTGTTCGATTTGCGATGACTGTGTAGCTGTAAGGACCGACGTTGGAAGCTCCACCTGAGAAAGAGTGGGACAGGGAAGGACTCAGCGCGTTGCTCATTTGCGCGCATATACCATCAACAATCATGCATGCATTACCATCAACTTTAAGCAGCAGCATCTGTTCACCCAACATGACAGAGCGAGAAAAGTGGAAGAAAGAGTGGGACGTGTCGGGGAGAGGAGAGGGTGGGGCGAGAGGAGAGAGGAGGGAGTGGGGCGAGGGGGGAGAGGAGGGAGTGGGGCGAGAGGGGAGTGCGGCGAGTATTTTTAAGAGAGGAGAGTGGGGAGAATGCGAAGAGGAGAGGGTGGAGAGTAGAGCGAGTAAACGTCAAACAATCTCACCCTTAACACACTTGGTCGCGGTTATCCCATAGCCTTGAGGGCACGCGCAGTAAGGCACCTGCACCCCACAGTTGTCACTCGCAGGCACGGTCTTGCAGGTTGCTCCAGTGGGGCAGGCGCCACAGGGCGAGTCTGCAGGGTGGGGCGGGGTCGGGATGGGTGCAGTGCGGTACTTGAGCGCATGCGCAGTAAGGCACCTGCACTGAAGGCTCTGAAGTCGCAGGCACGGTTTTGCAGGTGGCTCCAGAGGGGCAGGCACCACAGGGTGAGTCTGAGCGGTGGGGATGGGTGCAATGCGGTTTGGGGCACCAGAGGGGCAGGCGGCACAGGGTGAGGGTGAGGAAGGCAAAATGCGAGGGAGAGGGAGGAGCAAGTGCGAGTGCGGTGGGTCTGGAGAATGATGGTGGAGGAGTGAGGCTCCAAAGAAACGAGCTGTTTGGGAACCCGAAAATGAGAATTCAGGGCTTAAGGTCTTACGAAAATGAGAATTCAGGACTAAAGGTGTGCAGGAATGCTGGTGGAGGAGTGAGGCTCCAAAGAAACGAGAGGGAAAGGAGGAAGGCTGGCACGAAGACAAAAATCATGCACTCTCACTCTCATGGGTTGGGAGCATGAGGCTGAAAAAGTTGGCACTAAGCGGTGGCCTCGAAATATGTAGAAAAGCATGAAGAATGGGGCTGGTTGGATGGCACGGGGTTGATATATGAATGGCTGAGCTGAGTTGCGAGAGTGGAAAAGTGGGAAAACCGTGCTCACTCACCCCACTTGCAGTGACGAGTCTATTTCTGAGTCGACTCAGAGAGAGAAGGCTGCGAGAAAGCATGAATCAGAGGAGAGAGGACCTCACTCACCCCATGCATTTGCCACCGGGTTGACAGCCCAGCGCGTCACAGGCAGCATCAACCCACAAGACAGACGCCAAAGAGGGAAGGCAATCTTGAGGCGCCTGAACACTCACCCCACTGGCAGAAGCGCTCGCCATTCTCATCAACCACGCATTTGCCACCGGGTTGACAGCCCAGCGCGTCACAGGCAGCATCAACCCACAAGACAGACGCCAAGGAGGGAAGGCAATCTTGAGGCGCCTGAACACTCACCCCACTGGCAGAAGCGCTCGCCATTCTCATCAACCACGCATTTGCCACCGGGTTGACAGCCCAGCGCGTCACAGGCAGCATCGGTGCAGAGAACAGAGGCCACTGACGCCCACTTGCTGAGCGTCTTCTTGTTGCTTGGGAACCTGAAAGGGGGTGGCGTGGCAAGAGGAAGCACAAGAGATGATGTCTTGCCTACTGTGCTTATTCTGTTCCCTCGCTTCCCCGCCCTCCCCCTCCCCTCCCATCCCTGCCCCTCCCTTCCCTTCCCCTCCCCTCCCCTCCCTGCCTCTCCCTTCCCCTCCCAAACTTATCCACTGCTCGTGTTATCTCGCCGTGCCTCACACACGGCCATACAACCAAACAAAGACCCCCACCACACCACTCACTTGGCAGTAGCAGAGCCCGGGTTGACCATGCTATCCACCTCCCTGCCGTGGCAGCCACCCGTCCCAAAGAACTTGATCTGCGAGCAAGCAAAGCCTTTCGCCTTGCTGCTCGACCCGTTCCACCACACCTGTGCGCTCTTCCCTCTCGCCTTTTTCGGCACGGCCACGCAGCGCTGGCTGCCGAAGCTAAGCCGAGCCTTGCCCACAGCCACGGTTGTGGTAAACTGTGGCTTGGAACCGCCACTGCGGGTACTGGGAGTGCTGCTATCAATAGTGGTACTGCGAGTGCTGCTGTCCACAGTGGTACTGGGAGTGGGGCTATCAATAGTGGTACTGGGAGTGCTGCTGTCCACAGTGGTACTGGGAGTGGGGCTAGGGGTGCCGTCAACGATGCTGCCGCCGGCGGTGCTGCTGCTGGTGGTGCTCCCGGTGCTGTCCGTGCTGCCGGTGCTGTCGGTGGTCTCTAGCGCAATCCTTGCATTGACCTTGCTGCTCGCTATAAAAGGTTTTGAGAGGAGGAAGGGATTGCAGATGGGTGACATTGCAGACATAAGAGAGAAGGCAATGAGAGAGAAGTCAATGAGAGAGAAGGCAATGAGAGAGAAGGCAATGAGAGAGAAGGCAATGAGAGAGAAGACAATGAGAGAGAAGACACTGAGAGAGAAGACAATGAGAGAGAAGGCAATGAGAGAGAAGGCAATGAGAGAGAAGGCAATGAGAGAGAAGGCAATGAGAGAGAAGGCAATGAGAGAGAAGGCAATGAGAGAGAAGACAATGAGAGAGAAGGCAATGAGAGAGAAGCCAATGAGAGAGCAGGCAATGAGAGAGAAGACAATGAGAGAGAAGGCAATGAGAGAGAAGGCAATGAGAGAGAAGCGGGCTGACCGGCGATGAGAGAAGGCAACGATGAGAGAGCAGCAGTCTGATGAGCAGAAATGAGAGAAGCCGGACTGACCACAGATGAGGGCAATGGCGAGCAGCAGGAGTCCGGCGGGAGAGGCGCGCATCGACCTCATGTTGATGGGGGTACCGCGAAAGAGGCGGCGGAAGAGGCGGCAGAAAAGCCGGCGGAAGAGGAGCCAAATAAGTTGCCCTTGCAAATGTGAGTAAGTTGGCCCTCCGGCGTATCACACGCTCTTTATTGGAGCCGGGAGATGAAGGACAGTGGAAGGATGGTCGAGTAGTCGTACAAGCACAGACGCGGGAGAATGAAGGACAGCTTGTCCGCTGAGTGGAAGGATGGTCGATACTACCAGCGCAGACGCGGAAGGAGTCGTGAGGCGTTTCAAAACGCAAGGATGGTCGAGTACTACCGTGGAAGCACAGACGCGGAAGGAGAATCGTGGAATGACAGGGATGGAAGAACGGAACGCTTGCTTTGGGATCTTACGGAGCTGCACTCGTGATTTCTGATGCGAGTTGTGAGCGCGAGTCGAGCATGACAGCCGCCGCGCCATCGCACTACGATGAGTCATCGTCGGCGTCGCGTCGGTACTATCGTAGTGAATTATAGGAACGGGATGTGGACTTTTGAGACTTAATCAAAACACAGCCGCAGCGCCATCGCACTACGATGAGTCATCTTCGGCGTCGGTACTATCGTAATGAATAATATGAACGGGATATGGTGAGCTGCTACGACGATAGTCCTCACCTTGAGACTTCTCAAAACTCGTCGTGGTACAAGGATGAGTCATCGTCGGCGTCGCGTCGGTACTATTGTATTGAACTTAGGAACGGGACTTTTGAGACTTCTCAATAATATTGCAGCGTCATCGTACTACGATGAGTCGTCGTCGGTGTAGATACACTATCGTAGAGAATTTTAGGAACGGATGTGGACTTTTGAGACTTGTCAAAACTTGCAGCCCCATCGTACTACGATGAGTCCTCGTCGGTGTCAATAATACTATCGTAGTGAAGTATTGGAACGGGATTTGGTGAGCTGCTACGACGATAGCTCTGGCGGTTACTGTACTGTACGACTATTTTGGAACGCGGTGTGTGAGACGGCTTGCTTGGCGGAAGGCAGTTCATCTGTAAGGCATAAGGTGCTTGGATCTACAAGAACAGGAATCGGGGGGATGTGGTGAGGTGAGTGAGCAGCGATTACGATGACTCTGGGGATAACTTTGAGGGAGGCCATCCCATTCGTCAGATACGCAGCGCTTGACTCAAGTGAATAGCTGGGACGAAGTAAATCGTCTGAAATGCGAGTGCATAATGTGAACGACCAGAATGCGAGTTTGTCGCAGAAAGAAGCGAAGACAGCTGTCCGTCTTATCTGCCAGATAGCCGGCTATTTTAGGGACGCGCTCCAATAGGACTTCGTGAATCTAGCCAGCCAGGCCAGACTTTCGTTGCGATCGACCCAAAGTGAGACTTTCGTTTCGGCCAGACTACAAGGCGGTGTTTCCAGAACCGTTGTGTAACCAGGAAAACGCGGAAACTAACCGCGAGTCTCGCGGATCTCGCAGAGAGCCTGGCTGGCGCGTTACACTGACCAAGAGTGGTGATTGGAACATACGTGGCCAATCGCATTGGCACCACATCATTCCATCCTATCCGCTGAATTTCCAAATCCTTCCCGGTAACTCGCTTCGCGCACTCTTCGCAAGTCCTAAACCTTTGTCAATATCTTCGCTAGTTTCGACAACCAGCATTCCATGATCCGCCACGCCATGCCCTTGGTTTCTCCACAATTCAGTCAGGCAAGTTGTCCCTCGCAAGCAGATTCAGTCACCAAGAAATCCCCAGCCGCCAAGCAACTAGCAACCGAGAAGTCACACCTTCTCGAAAAAGAATCTAATTGCCTTCATTACCTCTGCTTTCCTTGTTCCACCACTTCCTGTCTTTTCATCTCGCATTCGTCGTTCATTTGGACGAACTTTTCGGTCGACCCTCGTTTTTTATTGAGGCGGGACCGATTTTCCAGTTTACCAGTAGGAAGGAGCGATCTTGCTTGCTGTTGCTCTTGCTGAGCCGGTAGAGAGGTATCAATCTTGCCTAGGAATTTTGGGATTCACGGAGCTGAGTTTTTGCAGAGATTTCTGCTCTAACGGGAGCTTTTCAACGTCGTAGGCTCCGCTATACCCTTCGCTGTATATCAAATTGCAAGCTTTCGAGAATTTCTTAAAAGTGAATCAAGTTTTTAGCTTCGCAATTGTCGAGCCTGCTCTGAGTCGGTGGTTTTCCGCAACCTGATCGGCAATGGACGGCGGTCACGGCGAGGGGAACGCGGGGGGAGAGGGATTTGGGCGCGGAGCACGGGGAAGGGGTGGTCGGGGGGGATTTCGCGGATCTGGGGGAAGGGGAGGTGGATTCGGCGGAAGGAGCGGGGGGGTTGGCGGAAGGCGAGGGGGATTCGGACATGGACATGGGGGAGTAGAGGCGGGTGCAGGCAGGGGAGATGGCGGGGGAGGAAACCGGGGGAGGGGCCGAGGGAGGGGGAGAGGCGGAAAGGAAGGGAACAACGTGCAGTTAGGAACCCAAACTACATCTGCTAATAACGACACGCAGCCGCTTGCATCGATGGCTACTAATATGAGCGCGGGGGTTCCCGAATCCGCCGTTATAGTCAACCCCGATACTGTGACGACACGTGTAGCAGCTTCTTCTATTATCGCAACGGCGAAGCGAGTTGTAGTGGTCACTTCGGGAGGTGCAGGATCGGGAGGTGCAGGATCGGGAGGTGCAGGATTGGGAGGTGCAGGATCGGGAGGTGCAGGATCGGGAGGTGCAGGATTGGGAGGTGCAGGATCGGGAGGTGCAGGATCGCAATCTGCGGAGGAGGATAAGGCGGCGCGGAAGAGGAAGAAGAAAGAGAGGCAGAAAGAGAAGAAGGAGATGATGAAGATGATGCAAGAGAAGCAGGCGGGGGATGCAGCCGGAGTGGGGAAGGAAGCAATTGAGCAGCAGCAGCGAGCCGCAGAAGCTGAAAAGCCAGCTGTATTGGCTGAATCGACGGACACTGCAGAGGAGGACAAGGCGGCGACTTTGAAGACGCCTCAAAATGCTGAATTTGCGGAAGCTGTAGAGGAGGATAAGGCTGCGCGGAAGAGGAAGAAGAGAGAGAGGCAGAAAGAGAAGAAGGAGATGATGAAGCAGATGCAGGAGAAGCAGGCAGAGGAACCAGCCGGAGTGGGGAAGGAAGCAATTGAGCAGCAGCAGCGAGCCGCAGAAGCTGAAAGGCCAGCTGTAGTGGCTGAATCTTCGGACGCTGCAGAGGGGGTTAAAGCGGCGGTTTTTACGGTGCCTCAAAAGTCTGAATTCACGGAAGCTGCAGAGGAGGATAACGCGGCGCGGAAGAAGAAAAAGAAAGAGAAGAAGGAGATGATGAAGAGAATGCAGGAGAAGCAGGCGGAGGAAGCAGCAGCAGTAGCGAAAGACGCAATCGAAACTAAGGCGCCTCAAAAGGCTGAAACTTCGGAAGCTGCAGAGAAGGCGGCACGGAGGAAGGAGAAGAAGAGAGAGAAGAAAGAGAAGAAGATGCAGGAGAAGCAAGCAAAGGAAGAAGCCGGAGTAGGAAAGGAAGCTTCTGATGAAACTACACCGTCCAAACCAGAGTCGATTCCGTCAGTATCAGAACTGGTTCAGTCAAATCCAGAGCTGATTCCGTCAAAGCAAGCTCCTGGAGCTGGGATTCCGTCAAAGCAGGCTCCCGGACCTGGGATTCCGTCAAAGCAGGCTCCTGGAGCTGTGATTTCTTCAAAGCAGGCTCCTGGACCTGGAAACCTGACAGATCCAGTGGCGCACGCAGGGGAGGGGCAAAACGAGGCGGAGAGGAAGGAAATGGAGAAGCAGGAGAAAAAAAAGCAGAAGAGAGAGAGGCAGAAGGAGAAGAAGCAGCAGCAGCAGCAGCAGCAGCAGCAGCAGCAGCAGCAGCAGCAGCAGCAGCAGCAGCGAGAGAGTGGAAGTGGGACCGACAAGCAGCAAAGAGTTGGCAGTGCTGGTCCCTCAATCAACAATGGCAGGGATGGCACTGGTTTAGGGTTTAAGACTCCTCCACCAACTGGTTGGGGGGATGCAGCATCCATGAATGCAGAGGGAGGCTCGGAGGCTTTTGATTCGGTTCCAAAGTCATCTGTCTCGGTGGAGTGGGGTGATTCAACCCAAAAGTCATCTGTTTCGGTTGAGTGGGGTTCTTTGTCGCCCACTTGTTGGGATGCGAGGACCTGTGGTTCAGATCGGACAGCTCAGGCGTTTATTGGGGCTGGCAATAGCGAGGACAGGGGGAAGGAGAAGGGTTTCAGGGGGTGCTTCGCCCCGCACTTGCCGCTTGAAGTTGCCAAGCAGAGGATCCAGGTACGTCTGTCGTGTGTGAACCTTTACCTGAGACTGGTCATTTGGTCTGCATTATTTAACCTTCACGTGTTCTTGTGCCCGCATCCGTCGATGCTCGTTCCATTTTCCTGCTTTTCCAATACTGCCCTTCTTTTGTTTTCTTTTGCTGCAACCTTATCATGTTAATTCTCGTTCGCTTCTGTTCTTTTTCCACTTCTGCAGGACGGCACCCTTTTTGCTGCATCATTCAGGGTCAACGCACGGAATCGATTTGAGGTGAGTCCTCCTTGTCTGCGATGGTATCGCTACCCATCTTGTCTGTCAACAATTGTGAAAGCAACATTTGCGGTTGAAAGTCAGCCCAAAAGTTTGCTCCATCGCTCGCAGTGCGCTCTGTGTGCTGCTCTGGGTAGTGTAAGATAAAAACATTTATTCAGTTGACTCGGGAGTCTTTTGTTGTTTCTTCGGTGCCTTCTGTGATGCATCTTTGCTCATGCTTTGATAAGGTACCGTGGTGTTCCTCGAGGCATATGTGACTGTGAAGGGAGTTCTGCACACTAATCATGCGTTGCTGTTTCTTGCTTTCCCTTCAGGCGTATGTGACTATAGAGGGAGTTCCTCGGGATGTCCTGATTTATGGTCTCAAGGCACAGAATCGAGCGGTAAGTTTCTTTCGAAAGTTTTGATTTTCTTTCATCCAATTCCGGCGCTTCCCCTTTCTGTGCGCGATCCATTCAATGGAATCGACCTCTAATCTGTAGTGTTTTTTCCGTCTTATGCTAAGACGCTGTAAAAACTCAGCCTTTTTCATTTCTGTGTTTCCTGTCCATCGAGTCAAATTGAGTCAAATGATGCTGACGTGTCTGCGCCTCTGTGCCTCCGTGCCTGCAGGTTGAAGGAGACACAGTGGCAGTGGAGACCCTCTGTCGCTGGAACCCAGTCATCCACAGATAGGCGCCACTCAGGAAGAGAATGGCTCTTTGAACACTTGTATCTTTCTACACCTCTGTGCCTGCAGGTTGAAGGAGACACAGTCGCAGTGGAGGTAGACCCTCTGTCACTGGAACTCAGTGATCCACAGATAGGCGCCACACAGGAAGAGAATGGCTCTTTGAACACTTGTATCTTTCTATACCTCCGTGCCTGCAGGTTGAAGGCGACACAGTCGCAGTGGAAGTAGTCCCTCCGTCACTGGAACCCGGCGATGCACGGATTCGCAAAACTCATTCACCCTCACCCCTCTGTGCCTCCGTGCCTGCAGGTTGAAGGAGACACAGTCGCAGTGGAGGTAGACCCTCCGTCACTGGAACCCAGTGACCCACAGATAGGCGCCACACAGGAAGAGAATGGCTCTCTGAACACTCACTGCGCGCCAAGCACTGGTGCAGCGACTGGAGTTGAGGCAGGGAGAGGAGGGAGAGGAGGGGGAGGAGGGGGGAGAGGGGGAGGAGGGGAGAGAGATGAGGGGAGTAGGCAGGGGGGAAAGGCGGAGGCAATAGAGAGGCTGGCGCGGGTAGTGAGGGGGAATCCGGATCTGCGGCTGACGGGGCGTGTGGTGGCGATTGTTCATTGGTCGGCGCGGAGAGAGGCGGTGGTGGGGCGGCTGGAGCTGCTGCCAGCTGCAGGGGCGCAGATGGAGAAGGAGAGGCAGAGGCGACGGGCTGTGGAGAGGAAGAAGCGAGTGGGGGAGAAGCAGCAGCGGAAGCAGGAGAAGCAGGGGCAGCAGGGGCAGCAGAAGCAGCAGCAGCAAGAGAAGGAGCAACAGCAGGAGCAGCAAGGGCAGCAGGCGGCAATGGGGGGGAATGCGAAGGTGAATGGGAGCGGGGTTACTAGCGGAGGTGATGAGATTGAAGAGGGGGAGGTGATTGGAGAAGAGGAAGAGGGGGGAATGGTTCTGGAAGAAGGGGAGGTGGTTGGGGAAGAGGAGGGGGAAGTGGTTCTAGAGGAGGGGGAAGTGGTTGGAGAGGAGGAAGCGGTATTCCTCTCTATGGAAGCTGGTGATAGGGAACCGTCTTCCTCTGCTGTTGAATTGAAGGATTCTGTTGTTGGTGCTCATACTGCCCCTGCTAGTGCTTTTCCTGTTGACGCTCCTGCTCCTGCGGCTGCTGCTGCTGCGGCGGCTGCTGCTGCTGTTGCTGGTAGCAGCAGTGACAGTATCGGAGTCAGCACAGCTAGCACAGGGCTCGAAGTGCAATCAGCGTTGCCAGTGCCAAGTTTTGCAGACTTCGGTATAGTCACGTTCACTCCAGTGGACCCTCGGTTCCCCCGCATGCTAATCCGAATTAGTACTCTACCCAAGGAGATTAAAGACCTCGTCTTAGCAGCCTCCTTAGTCTCTGACACGCGTCAGAAGGCTGACAGGACGAGGACCAATAAGAGCGGCCCTAGCCTGGCACCGATAGAAGAGGTTGCTTCTGTCGCTGCTGATGCTACGGATGCGACCGGGGCTGATGCGACTGAGCCTGTAGCGAGTGTGACTGTAGCGGAGACAGCTGTAGCGGCGTCAGTAGCAGCCGCAGATGAGGCGGCAGCGGCTGTTGCAGCAGCAGCGGAGGTGAGGCAGATGCTAGTAGCCGCCAGGCTATCCCGCTGGTCTGCAGGCCAGTTCCTGCCCTTCGGTATAGTCACACAGAGCCTGGGGCCGGCAGGGGACGCTGAGACTGAAACGAGGGCGATTCTGGCCCAGTTTGGAATCCATGGGGCGGATTTTTCGCCGGAAGTATTAGCAGAGTTGCCTTGTGGGGCTGGTGGGACGAGGGGTGATAATGATGGTAAGTGTGGTGATAGTAGCGAGGGTGCTACTAACAAGGGTGTAAGCAGTAGTGGCGTGGCCGGGGGCAGTGGCAGCAGCGGCAGCAAGGGGGGCAGCAGCAGCATTGGCGGCAGCAGCAGCAGTGGGTGGAAGATTCCTGCAGAGGAGATAGCAGCTCGCAGGGACTTTAGAGGCATGCGCGTGATCACTATAGACCCGCCCACTGCTCGAGACCTGGATGATGCTCTGTCTATAACGAGGATAAAGGCTGGGGGGGCAAAGGGGAAGAAAAAAGGGAAGGGGAAGGGGAAGGGGGAGCAGGAGCAGGGAGAGGGGGAGAAGGGGAAGGGGGCGGTGAAATGTGTGAAGGAGGGTGAGGAGGAGGTAGAGGAGGAAGAAGAGGAGGAGGAGGAGGAGTTGTACCAAGTTGGAGTTCACATTGCTGACGTGTCATACTTCATACCGCCCGGATCCGCACTAGATGCCGAAGCCGCCCGGCGGTGCACGACAGTGTATCTAATCCAGCAGGCCATGCCGATGCTCCCCCGCCCGCTGTGCGAGGACCTCTGCTCGCTACAGCCGGGGGTTGACAGGCTGGCGTTTTCGGTGGTGTGGGACGTGACTGTAACGGGGGAGGTGAGGCGGCAGTGGGCGGGAAGGTCTGTGATTCGTCCGTGTGTCCAGCTGGCGTATGGGCATGCGCAGGAGATGATTGATGGGAGGTTTGGGGGAGGGGAGGAGGTGGCAGGGTGGGGGCGGGGAGGGGGAGAGGGGAAGAAGGGGAAGGAGGTGAGGGAGGAGGGGGATGATGAGAGTGGGATTGGGAGTGTGAGTGAAGGGGGGAGTGAGGGGGCGGGGAGCAGAGGAGGAGACGGAGAGGGCGGAGGAGGCGGAGGGGGCGGAGGGGGAGGAGGCGGTGGAGGGGTGGGGAAGCTGGACGGCAGAGTGAACGAGGACTGGCGGCCGGTCGTATACGGAGGCCACAGGTGGCACGATGTGATTGGAGACGTGCTGGCGCTGCACCGTATGGCGCAGAGCCTGAGACGGGCAAGGGAGGAGAGGGGTGCGCTCATGCAGCTGCAGACATCCAAACTGAGGTTCTCCTTTGATGCAGAGGAAGGGGAGGAGGGGGAGGAGGAGCTGGGGGGCATTGGGGATGTGGGCGTGGGTAACAACACCAACAACACCAACACCAACACCAACACCAACACCAACACCAGCACCAGCAGCAGCGGTGGCGGTAGCAATGGTAATAAGTGGAGGCCTGTGGGTGCAGCAGTGGCGCCGGCAACAGCAGCAGCAAATCATCTGGTGGAGGAGCTCATGCTTCTGGCCAACACCACCGTGGCGAATATCATTTCTCGCGCCTTCCCTTCCGATGCTCTGCTCAGGTACTGTCCAGTAGGCCTTCTCTCCTTCAAATATGAAACTTCCAACTGCAACAGGGAACCACCTGGTGGAGGAGCTGATGCTGCTGGCCAATACCACCGTCGCCAACATTACATCTCGAGCCTTTCCTTCCGATGCACTGCTCAGGTAATGTCCAGTTGGCCTCTTACTTAAACACAGCATCCTTAAACAAGAAACCTTAAACACAGCATCCTTAAATAAGAAACCTTAAACACAGCAGCAGCGAACCATCTGGTGGAGGAGCTGATGCTATTGGCCAACACCGCCGTCGCCAACATTATATCTCGAGCCTTCCCCTTTGATGCAGTGCACTGCTCAGGTATTGTCCAATACACCTTGTCCCTTAACCTGAAATATAAAAATCACCAGCGACAACAGCAGCGGACCATCTGGTGGTGGAGGAGCTGATGCTGCTGGCCAACATTACCGTTGTTAATATCATATCTCGAGCCTTCCCTTCCCATGCCCTGCTCAGGTACCGTCCACAGGCGTGCTCCCTGCAGGGTTTCATGCCTTACCACATCGTCATCTCTCCTGTGACTTCTCCCCATGCTCTGTGCCCCGTGCCCGTGCCCGTGCCCTGTGCAGGCGCCACCCCCCTCCGAACGCCAAGAAGATGGGCGCCTTTCTTCGCTTCGCATGCCAGCAGGGTGTGCTGTCAGTAGGGTGTGCTGTCAGCAGGGTGTGCTGTCAGCAGGCTTCGTGTGCCTCCCACATCATCGTTGTCAACACTCCTGCTCCTTTCCCACCCTGTGCCCCGTGTCTCATGCCCCGTGCAGGCGCCACCCCCCTCCGAACGCCAAAAAGATGGGCGAATTCCTGCGCTTCGCCTGCCAGCAGGGTGTGCTGTCAGCAGGTTTCATGTGCCGGCACTCTCCCCTTTCCCCTTTCCCCTTTCCCCCTGTTCCCCCTGCCCCGTTGCCCCATGCAGGCGCCACCCCCCTAGTAACGCCAAGAAGATAGGCGATTTCCTGCGCTTCGCCTGCCAGCAGGGTGTGCTCTCTGCAGAGTTCATTTGCCTTCCACATATAATCATTATCATCTCTCCTCCGCTTTCCCCCCACACTGTGCCCCATGCCTCGTGCCCCCGTGCAGGCGCCACGCCCCTCCCGACGCCAAGAAGATGGGCGATTTTCTGCACTTTGCCTGCCAGCAGGGCGTGCACTTAGCAGGTTTCATGTGCTGGCACTCTCCCCTTTCCCCTTCCCCCCTGTGCCCCCTGCCCCGTTGCCCCGTGCAGGCGCCACCCCCCTCCCAACGCCAAGAAGATGGGCGATTTCCTGCGCTTCGCCTGCCAGCAGGGCGTGCTCTCAGCAGAGTTTTGCAAGAAATTGGTGCGAGAGTGCCCAGAACTGAAGCAGCTTATAGCGGGTACAGGCGGGGGAAAAGGGCCAGGAGGTTTGGAGGAGGAAACAGAAGGGGAGACGGAGGGAGCCGGGGGTGGCATGGATGGAGTGATACCGTCCAAAGTGCTGAGTGAAATACTTAACGAGGTGGGGCGGGCGGTGGAGGATCCAGGGGAGAAAGCGCTGCTGCTGCTGATGGCGACTAAACCCATGCAGCTGGCTCAGTACTTCTGCCGAGGACAGTGGGGTGGGAATGATGGTGATGGTGATGATGGTGATGATGGGGATAATGGTGGGGATTGTGCATGTGGTGGGGACGACAATGATGGGTTTTTCAGGGGTGGTGGATTTCGGGGAGGTAGATCTGGGGGAGGTAGATCTGGGGGAGGCAGGTCTGGCAGGGGGGGTAGGTCTGGTGGAGGTAGATTCGGGGGAGGTATATCTGTGGGAGGTAGTTCTGGTGGGAAAGCAGGTATATCTGGTGGAGAAGGCGAGTGGACGTCTCATTACGGGCTCGCTCTCGACCTATACACGCATTTCACCTCCCCGATCCGCCGCTACGCTGACGTCATCGTGCACCGCCAGCTGGCGGCCGCGCTGGCGGCAGAGGAGAGGCTTATAGCGAGGATGGGGCTGAGCAGCAGTGTGAAGTGGGAGAAGAAGGGATTGGGTGCAGGAAGGGGAGCAGGAGAAGCAGGAGAAGCAGGAGAAGCAGGAGAAGCAGGTGGCGCGACAAGTGAGAAAGGAGAGAGGGGTGGAGCAGAAGGAGCAGGAGGGAATAGGCATGAGGTGAGTGGTGATGTCAACGTTACGCTGCTTAGGAAGCTGACTGGGATAGCGGCTGGAGGTAGGGTGCTCACTGCTGTGGGGGATCCGCTGGGGCTGCTGGCAGGGTGTGGAAGGAGTGGAGGGAGTGGAGGGAGTGGAGGGAGTGGAGGAGAGGGGAAGGGAGAAGGGAGGGGAGAGTTTGCAGGGGAGGAGGGTATGCAGGGAGGGCGAGGTGGGAGAGGAGGGACAGGAGGGAGAGGAGGGAGAGGAGGGAGACGGGGAGGGAGAGGACGGGGAGGAGGAAAGGGAGGGAGAGGAGGAGGAGGGGCGAATGAAGACAAGAAGAGCCTGTTACGTCGCGAGCTGGTAACCGCAGTGCGGCACGAGTGCCAGCTGGTGCACAAGGAACGAGCGATGCCGCCCGCCGACACCGTCGCTGACGTGGCGACGCGGTGCAACGAGAGGAAGCTTGCCGCCCGATACGCGCAGGAGGCGAGCGAGCGGCTGTTCCTGTGCCTGCTGCTGCGCCGCACCCAGGGGTGCCTTTCCAACGCATGGGTGACGGCGATCGGGCCGCGTTACATGAACGTCTACATCGAACGCTTTGGGGTGAGTAGATGCCGGGTGTTTACTGGAAGGGTAGATGCAAGCAGGAGGCGAGCGAGAGGCTGTTCCTGTGCCTGCTGCTGCGCCGCACCCAGGGGTGCCTTTCCAATGCCTGGGTGGTGAACATCGGGCCGCGCTACATGAACGTCTACATTGAACGCTTTGGGGTGAGCTTGCTGCCTGTTCTTCTCCCCCCTCCCCACTGTGCAGATGAGGCATCCCATTCGCGTCATCTCTACCTGCCAATGGTTATTTATCTCAATTGTTATTCTTTTCCACGCTCCCTCCCTCCCTTCATGCCCTGCCTTTTTTCTCCTCCCTCCACACCCTACAGATGGAGTTACCCATTCATGTCATCCCAATTCCCAACACCACCTGCCAATGGTGCTCCAGCTTGGGTGCTTAAGCTCATTGCCGTGCTCCCTCCCTCGCTTCTTCCCTCCCTCTCTGCCCCGCCATGCTCTCTGCCCCGCCGTGCTCTCTTCTCCCCTCCTCTCTTCTCCCCTCCTCTCTTCTCCCCTCCTCCCTCCTGTCTGTGCAGATGGAACGACCCATCCACTTCAACTCTATCCCCAACACCACGTGCCAATGGGTCGCTGCCACTAGCACTGTCATCATTAGCGCCAAGCCTCCTCCTTCCGAGGCTAACTCCAAGGCTCGGAACGGAAAGGTTCAGAAAGACCAGGCTCGGAACGGCACGGCTGGAACTGCTGCAGAGTGCAGAGCAGCAGCGGCGGTGGCAGATCTACCAGCAGATGATTTGGCCCATCTGATTTCGCCAGCAGCGTTGGTTCAGAAGAATGGCGGGGATACAATCGGTAGTAGCAGTGATAACGAGGAGAGAAGTGGCCGTGCTGTGGCAAGTGGGGGTTCGGAGAATTCTACTGGAATTTCAGGCCTGGCTGCAGATGACCTTGCCCGTAGCATCTCGCCTGATTTGCTTGAAGGAGATGATGACGCAGACGGTGGAGGAGGTGGTACTTATAACGAGGATGACAGTATCTTGCTGGTTGATGGAGCGCTGGCAGCTGCGGCCGAGGCAGCAGCGGGAGTGGGGGACGAGGGAGAAGGGGGTGTGCTGCAGCCTGTGGTGCTGCAGCCTGTGGTGCTGCCGCTGACTCTCCGTGTCATGGCTCAGGTGCCTGTGTTTGTGCATACCACAGGGGGTGGCAAGCAGCTGATGGACATTGGGGCTCGCTTGTACATTGGCTGACCGAAAATGGACTGCATAGTTGGAAATGGTTGATGAGGGGGGGGGGGGGGGGAGTGTTGCAACCTGTGGTTTTGCCGCTGACGCTTCGCATCATGTCTCAGGTGCCTGTGTTTGTGCATACCACAGGGGGTGGCAAGCAGCTGATGGACATTGGGGCTCGCTTGTATGTTGGCTGATTGAAGATGGTGGGTGGGGGAGGAGACGGGGTGTTGCAGCCTGTGGTGTTGTCCCTTACTCTCCGTGTCATGTCTCAGGTGCCTGTGTATGTGCATACCACGGGCGGTGGCAAGCAGATGATGGCTATTGGGGTTCGTCTGTACGTTGGCTGACCGAAAATTGTGTGCATACTTGGAAATGGTAAATGAGGGGGGGGGAGTGAGGGGAGGGGGTGGGGGGGGAAGGGGGGGGGAAGGGGGGTGTTGCAGCCTGTGGTGTTGCCGCTGACGGTTCGCATCATGGCTCAGGTGCCTGTGTATGTGCATACCACGGCCGGTGGCAAGCGGTAAATGAATATTGCAGCTCATTTGTATGTAGGCTGATTGAAAATGGTGGATGTGTACTGGTTGCACTATATGAGAATAAAAACATATCCATTGCAATTAAGAAAATGCTTCTTTGCTCTTCTACAGCTGGGCGTGTATGATTTTTTATTGTATGGACCAATTGGTTCTATACATACAGAGCACCGTCTTGTCAATCATTCGAGGTGGTCTGTTCAAGACGCAGGCTTAACGCCTGGCACATTACACAACATGAGATTCCTGGGAAAAGTAATTTTCACTTTGGAGTGGAAATTGATAGTTAACAATTGAAATAACAGAAATATGTGAGGTATCAGGCCATTTGTTGCGATGCATGTCTAGGCGCGTACGCTGTCGTTTCTGAACAAACACCTCGTGGATCTGATTATCCCGCCAGCTCCTAGTTGGGAAGACCTCGCCCAAATCCCTCCGAGGACCCCCTTTCGCCCTGTCAAATGTTGTAGCCTGTAGTGAGGTTTGTCTTAGGGGGTACAGAAGTTAGGGTTTGTTATATGTACCCCAACCAACATTAATGGCATCATCATTCCTCATTTTGACATGGTATCAGCTAGGTTAGGATCCTGTGGGATCCCGTTCCTCCGTTCTCCGTTCGTCCCTCCCGAGCCTGATCCTACCTCTCGTTCGTACCGGTTCCGTTGTTACCGCGCCTAGTACCGAGCCTAGCGCCCTCTCCCCCGTCGCTTAGCGCCCTTTCTCCCCGTCGCCTAGCGCCCTTTCCCCCCCCCCCCCCCCCCCCCGTCGCGTCGCGCCCTTTCCCCCCGTCGCCTAGCGCTCTTTCCCCCCGTCGCGTCGCGCCCGTTCCCCCCGTCACGTCGTGCCAGCCCTTTCCCCCCCGTCCCGTCGCCCTGTCCCGTCGCGTCGCCCTGCCCCGTCCCGTCGCCCTGCCCCGTCGCGTCGCCCTGCCCCGTCCCGTCACCCTGCCCCGTCGCGTCGCCCTGCCCCGTCGCGTAGCCTTGCCCCGTCCCGTCACCCTGCCCCATCGCGCCGCCCTGCCCCGTCGCGTCGCCCTGTCCCGTCCCTACGCCCTGGCCCGTCGCTCTACCCTACGCCCTGGCCCGTCGCCCTACCCTACGCCCTGGCCCGTCGCCCTACCCTACGCCCTGGCCCGTCGCCCTACCCTACGCCCTGGCCCGTCGCCCTACCCTACGCCCTGGCCCGTCACCCTACCCTACGCCCTAGCCCGTCGCCCTACCCTACGCCCTGGCCCGTCGCCCTAGCCCGCTCTTCCGCTGCGACTGAGTCCCCTTCCCACGTGAACCCTAATTTGCCTCTTCTCCCCAGTTGTTACTCGCCTGTTCGTTCGCGTTAGTTCTCACTATGGCGACTCCGCGAGTTCTTCGTTTCGACGCTGACGGTAGACCACTTGACTTTTCCGTCTGGCTTCTTCGCGCTCGCCGTCTGTTAGAGAGTCAGGTCCAGGGGGGCGAGACCCTCTGGTCGCACGCTACTGGTGACCTCCCCGAGCCCCCCGAGCCTACAGCTTTAGGCTCTGCCCCTGACGACGCTGCTACGGCTCGCTTTGCCCGTCAGCGCGCTGACCGGACGGCTTGGACGTCGCGTGACGCTGCGGCCTGCATCGCACTCAGCAGCCTCCTCCCTGAGTCAGAGGAGGTCCACTTTACTCAGGTTCGCACCGCTGCTGCGTACCTCACTGCGATTAAGGCCCGCTACTCTACTCCCGCTACTGTCTCTCTTGGCCGTCTTTTCCTCCCGTTCCTGTTTCCTTATCTCGCCTCGTTTGAGCGCTCTGCTGACTTGATCGCTCACCTCCGCTCGCTCGACGCTAGTTACCGCGCTGCTTGCACTGAGGCACAGCTTGCACTGCTTCCTCCCCCCATGGCGATTACTGTCTATTTCATCGCCACTAGCCTCCCTGACCGCCTAGCCTCCGTTCGTGACGCGCTTCTGCTGAAGCACCCTAGTGAGCTGACTATCGAGGTCCTTGAGTCTGCACTCAAGGACGTCGAGAGCAACCTTCGCTCGGTAGCTGCCGCCTCTGGTACTGTGTCCCCCCCACTCTTCCACGGGTGCACAGTTCCGCAGTTACCCACCTTCACTACCTCTCTCGCCACTGCCGCTACTGACGCGACTGCGGCTGCTGTTACGACTGCGTCGCGGTCCCGCGGCAAGGGGGGCAAGAAAGGTAGTTCTGGTGGAGGTGGAGGTGGAGGTAGCGGAGGTAGTGGGGGTGCTGTTGCGACTGGCGGTGGTGGGAGTGCAGCGTCTAGAGAGACCCCTCGTGCAGCGGCTGGTGACTCCACTGCGCCTGCTGGTGGCGGCGACCCCCGAGCTCGTCAGTCGCCTCCTGTACTGCCGACCCCGCTAGGTGGAGCAGCGGCGTGGTACCAGGCTCAGCGTCAGCAGCACCTTCAGCAGCAGCAGCAGCCCCTTTCCTCCCGCCAGCCTCAACAGCAGCAGCGTCAGCAGCTGGCTCCGGGGTCGGGGCTGCGTCAGCCCCAGCGCGGTGCTTCTTACCCTCCCTGCACCTATCAGGTTCTGACAGGTCCTCGTTGGGGCCACCCTTGTGGCCGCTTTCACCCCCCTGGTCAGTGCTTTGCTCAGCTCACTGACACGGTCCGGTTGGCCTACGGGGTTGGCGGTCCTGCTCTTGACTGGCTTCCTCCGGTTCGGCGCTACGGCTCCGCTCTGTGGGGCATGTCTGCTGAGCAGTTAGTTGATCTGATTGGTGCTCCTCATGCTATGTATGCTGTTGTTGACTCTAGTGTTTCTGACTCTGTTTACTCTGGTGTTGTTAGCTTAGGTGCTAGTCTTGCTCAGTTGCCTGTTGCTAGTGTAGGTTCTTGTGTAGACTCTAGACCAGCGACTACCTCAGAGGACGCTTCGCTGTCGTTCACGCTGGACTCTGGAGCCTCACACTGCTTCTTCCGGGACAGCACGACACTTATACCACTTCCTGCGCCTGTTTCTGTGGCTTTGGCTGATCGCACTACGGGACCAGTCACTGCACGTCACACTACCACTTTACCGTGTCCTGCTGCTCCCTCCGGGTCTCTCACTGGGTTTCACGTCCCCTCGTTCTCCCGGAACTTGGTGGGCGTGCGACCCCTCGTGAGTCAGCACGTGGGTGTGTGGTTTGAGCCTTCTGGAGAGACTGCGGTGTGTGTTGACGGAGACTCTTACCAGCCTCTTGCTACCTTTACTGCTGAGCCGGGCTCAGGTCTCTACACTCTTCACACTGGCCCGCGTGCGCCGCAGCAGCAGCCGCAGCAGCAGCAGCAGCCGCAGCCGCAGCAGCAGCAGCAGCAGCAGCTGCACCAGCGGTCGCACCAGCAGCCGCCCCTACTGCCACTGCCCCCGGTTCCCCCCCCCGTTCGGGTCCTCGCGTCTCACCAGGTTGCTTCGTCCCCCCAGGTGTCTGTGTCGTGTCAGGTTCCTACGTCTGCTCCAGTTGCTGCGTCGTGCTCCTGCCGGTCGCTTGCCCACCCCACCGTTCTGTGGCACCACCGGATGGGGCACCCGTCCCTTCCTCGTCTGCGCACTATGTCTAGTCAGAATGGGGTTGCTGAGCGCCGCATAGGCCTGGTCATGGAGATCGCCCGCACCTCCCTGACTCACGCCTGTGCCCCCCATTTTCTGTGGCCCTACGCGGTCAGGTACGCCGCGCACCAGCTGAACCTCTGGCCACGTGTCTCTCGACCAGAGGTTTCACCGACCAGTCTTTGGACAGGGTCCCCTGGTGTTGCGTCGCGGTTTCGTGTCTGGGGGTGCTTGGCTCTTGTCCGCGACACCTCCGCGGACAAGCTCTCGCCTCGTGCCGTCCCCTGTGTCTTCCTTGGTTTCCCTGAGGACTCCTCTGACTTCACCTTTTACCACCCTCCCTCTCACCGGTTCTTTGACTCCCGTGACGTCCGTTTCGAGGAGTCCACTCCGTACTACGTCAGGTACCCCAGTCCAGGTCTCCAGGTTCCTCCTCCCCCCCTCTTCCTGACTGCCGCTCCCCCTCCTGTTCCCCCGGTACAGCCTCCCCCCCCTGGTCCAGCCCCGTCGGGTGTGTCCCAGGCTACCCCTCCTCCTTCGGTAGCCTCTCCGGTACAGCCTCCCTCCCCACAGTCCTCCTCGCAGCGTGCCGCAGGTGCTAGCTCTCGAGAGGTTGGTGCTGCGCCTGTTCCTGTACCGGTTTCTGGTTCTGGGGGTGGTGGAGTTGGAGCTGGAGTTGGAGCTGGAGTTGGAGCTGGAGTTGGAGCTGGAGTTGGCACTGGAGTTTCTGGTTCTGGGGGTGCTGGGGTTGGAGCTGGAGTTGGAGCTGGAGTTTCTGGTTCTAGAGTTGGAGCTGACCCGGTGGGTGCAGAGGACTCTTGTCGTCCGGGAGCTGGTGCTGGTCGCGCGGACACTGGGGGTGAGAGTGCGCCTCCTTCGGGTTCTGGTGAGCCTGGGTCTGGAGCTGGTGTTAGTGCTGCCTCTGGGGGTGGTGCGCCTGGTTCTTCGGGGGTGGACTCT